CTTTCGTCTTCTCTTTAAATTTACAAGATTGTGAAACCTAACTATCTTCAACTTCCATGGTTCACAGGGTACCAAACTTGGTTGATTAGTGGATTGAACACATATTTGCTTTCGGACGAAAGAGGAACTGACATTATCAGCAAAAATAAGGAAGGAGTATATAGCATTCTTGGTAAGATTTTGACTTGGTTTATTTACTACTCTCTTTTGATTATTCGGCATCTAAATCTATATTGATTCAGGTTACTGGGGCATGTACCTCCTTGGCGTTCACTTAGGTTATCGTCTCTTTTACGCAAAACATTCAAATATTCGAAGCACCACGAGCTCAATCGCTAGAGTCTTTCTCGTTTCTCTTCTCTTATGGTAAAAACAAGCGGTTATAGAACATACCATCTCATTATGATAAAGATACTCATGGCCATGTATTATGTATGTTTGTCTCAGGATTGTGACTATACTTCTTGACAACTACGTTGAGAGGATCTCCCGTCGAACGGTAATGATACTCACTTAAAGCTCAAAAGCATTTAAAGGGACAATAACGTTTGAAACTGTTTCTATATTCTGCAGTGCAACATGCCTTATGTTACTTGGGTGCTCGCACAAGATCTTCAGGTCTCTTTATAGTTCAGAATTGATCATAATGGTGAAGACTTTATCTTTGTGATTTGAGGTTTGATTCGTCTTTGCGTTTATTGCCAGGCACTGGGGATATTTATGCTGTCTAGTTATATACCTATGAACAAACTTTCATCACTTGAAGAAGCAATTGACCAAAATCTATTAGCTACCTTTCTGCTTGTAAGTTTCTTATCAACTGATTTCTCCACACTCTATCAATCTTGATCCTCGTTGAACTGATTTCACATTTCCCGTTTTTTACAGGCAAACCTTGTTACAGGAATGGTGAACCTCACCATAGATACCATATTCGCTTCTCCATTCTCTTCTCTTCTGATATTAACCGCTTACGCCTTTGCTTTATCTGCTATAATCGGAACCATTCATTTCTCCGGTTTCCGGTTAAAGTTCTGGTAAATTAAAAGCTCACTACATCTTGTAAACTGACACTAGTTTTGGATTCTGATATGATTGTGTTGCTATTGCATATGAGCAGAGAAGTTAAAGAAAGTCTTTTGAAGTATGAATCTTTCTTCTGTGTATGAAATTTTTGCCGTGATAAGTTTTTATTACAGAAAAGTGTGACTTTTTTCATTGCAACAAGTGTTTGACATGACAAGACTTACCAAGAACTTTCCTCAAGGGTAGTTTTTTTATTCGAGATCAGCAGATTGGTTCTGATCCCCAAAAAACTGAGCAGAAGAAATAGACTTTGTGTTTGAGATAATTTCTTTCTTGCTTCATCAGATTTTTCAACCGAGTAATCAAATTAGTTAAAAGATAACTGTCACTAGCTAGACCAATGAGGTCGCTGAAACACAGGGGATTACTTGAACTATCGACGAGCTGAAGCTTATGATTTCTTGATGATGACTTTGGTGGAGCAACATGGGTAAGAAGTGGCATCAGTAACTCTTCCTTGACAGCAGAAGAAACCACATTAGATGCTTTTGGTTGACAAGTAGTAGTATCTTCTGCAATGGCTTCTGTAGCAAGAATCTGCCTATATCACATTAGAGCAGCATCGATTTTGCCACCATCGGTCCATCCATGTTGCTTGAAGACCACCTGAGCACGGTTGTTCCCACCAAATATCATTGTCCTAAACTGCTCAGGGCTCCATGAGTCTAAATATGTAGCATATTATTCTTATAAGTTGAGAACGTAATTGAATGTGGCGTTATTCATTTTTTTTCTTTGCCATCAATATCCAAAAAGTTCTATCTAAATCCTCTATACACTATTAGTTTCTTTGAATTTTGTTTGTTGTCTTTTTTTTTTTTTTATCTTTGTTAAAGGTTTCTCATAATTAAAGGCTGCATATCACGACTTTATGTTATGTAATGTAATGTTTATATCAACACTATTATAGATCTTTATAGAAATGATATGACATCAAAATAAAAGCTTACATATTTACGTACCACATTCAATATCTTAGTCAACAAGCCAATTTTATCATCAAAAGAAAAAGAAAAAAGAAGTTAAAGAACAAAGTTAAAGTCACATAAAAAGAACAAAAAAGTAAGTAGCTAAAAAAACAAACTAAAACAAAGCAAGCTTCTCATATACCAAAAGAATCTCTATTATATATTATAAAATATCAAGTTTTGGTACATTCCACATCTATAAACCATATTCATCACACATATATAAACAAATTCTTATCTCTTTGATGCTACGATATGGATTATTTTCATATATGAATGAATTCACTTATCAATGTAACACAATCTTTGATTAATCAATCCCTCAAGGATTCAATTTTTCTTTTCTTTTTCCTCTTTCATGGAGTCCGATCCAAATCCTAATGCTTGGAATCAATACATTAATCCAAGAGATTGTACTCAAGGCTTATGTTCCACACCTTGCCCTCAATGGTGTACTTACATCAACTTCTCTCCACCACCAATTTCCTATGAACAATTCCTAAACGACGGCGTTTCATCAAACCCTAATCTCTCCCCTCTTGTCATCGCTATTTTTGGAATCTTTGCAACTGCCTTTCTCTTGGCAGCTTACTACACTCTTGTCTCAAAGTATTGCGCCAACGACGCCACCAATGAAGCTGCCTCAGAAACCGGAAGATCGGATATAATTCTCGATGTTAACTCGCCGGAAAGTGGAGACCAAGACGACCCTTTTGCTCTTGAGTCTAATTCAAACGCCGGCTTAGACGATGCTCTCATTAAAAAGATTGGTTTCTTCAAGTTAAAGAAGCATCAAAACGGGTTCAAGATCAACGGTACGGATTGTTCAATATGTCTTGGAGAGTTTAACGAAGACGAGAGCTTAAGGTTATTACCTAAATGCAACCACACTTTCCACGTTGTTTGTATCGATCGGTGGCTCAAATCTCATTCAAATTGTCCGCTTTGTCGGGCTAAGATCATCGTCCCTACCACTCAACAACCCGATCATCATGTTGTGGTGATGAATCTTGATCGGTTTACGAGCAATGTTGGATCAGCAGAAGGAAATGTAGTCGTTGTTGATCATCGTGAAGAGGTTAGTGTTTCGATTAGTTCTCATCATCCACGTCGGTTCTCGGCCGCGGATATTGTTCTGGGGATAAGGAGAGATGGAGAAGAGGAAGAGCAAAATTATGATATTGAGAACGGAAACAGAGAGAAGCTTGTAGACTTGAAAAGATCATTCTCAAGTGGGGGACTGGTCCTTGGGACTCAAGGAAGGACTAGAAGATCTCTAAACCTATGTCCTTAAGTATTTTCCTTCACACAATATTTATTTGGGGTGGGAATATGAAACAAATATTATTGTATTTACGTACACTCAAAAATTTATACATACATACATATTATGGATACGTTTCAAGGATACATATATACATCGTCTTAGTTTATAGGTTTGAATTTTCGTTGTCTTTATATAATTCTTATCCGTATATGATTTTAAATAGAATTAAAATCATCACTTACAGTTGGATTTATTTTATTATAGTTTATATAGTTACAACTAATTAAATAAACTGGTACATGTGTTTTTATTGTTAATTACCAAAGTTTTGTAGAACTACGATTTGTACGATAGGCAAACTGAAAAATTGTTGTAAATAATAGTAAAAACAGAATCAAAAATTACAAAATTCGATACTAAACTCTAATGAACGAAGAACGATTTGTATGGAAGCGAGACGCTCGTAGTGTGACGGTGTTACACAATCAAAATCGCAGGATACAACCACACTATTAACTTTTTCGCAACACCCAACAACAGAAGCTAACAAATCAAATTTATGTGTTGTACTCTCATACACAAAAGATAAGAAAAAAGAGAAGAGGGATTTCTTATGTTGATTCACGATGATCCAAAATGAGGTGAAGAAGCCTTGCTTATAAAGCTATAGTCTTCAACGTACATGTAGTCAAAAGGAGAATAAGACACTAATGAGAATCAATTCTCACGTTAATGTCGTCAATAAGACAATAACTATTGACATTCTAATACACTACCGTGTAATGTTTCCAGCAACGATCTCATCGTTCCCAAGAAGCGGTCATTCTGATGAACGTATTCACCAAAAAATTCACCGAAAAAGTGGTCACAACCACATCGTCAAAACTCAAAAACAAGTTCCAACAAGTTTTCTATATTATATATTTAGAACGTTTGTCTACACCAGTAAACGTTAAAATTAATCAATTTATCTATCTTTTTACGTAAATAGTATATTTTTTATTTAGGTTCGTTCCATATAATTGAGGAACTAAAAAAAAAACTCTTTGTGGAAAAACATATATTCTTCTCTCTGTATAGTAGTCTCAATGCTTATTCCAATTTCCAAATGGTTCCCTTCTCAAGAAAGTTAAGAGAAAGCAAATTAGGCCTTCCCCACCAAATTGCTTTCCAACACAATGGCCCATGAGAGATTTACAACGAAAAAAGTTTAAATAAATTTATTATCACAACACCAATTGTATTTAAAGTCGCTCCATTTGTCCAACTAAGAACCATATGTTATTATTTGTTAGAGCCAAAAATCTTTATTCCAACTTTGCAAGTCCTTAAAACGAATTTGAGCGTTAATTAATTTCGGATGACAAAAAACAAAAGTCCTTAAAACTAATCGTAATATTTTCTTAAAATTGCAAAAAATACACAAAGGTAGGTAATCTCATTATTTATTTATTATTCAAGATCCATGTATGCACCTAACCAAACCAAATTTACACCATGCATACATAAATGAAAACCAAAAACTAATTTTGTTTTTATTCCCATTTTTAGCCCACTAAAACCCCTATATTTCCCTTTCTACCCATTTTGCATCACATATACAAGCACATTACATATTCACAATATTTGCCATTAGTAGGACAAAACCTAACTTAAGGCCTTTCTTTTTTTTGCTAACACAAGCAAAAGACCATTTCTTTGGTATACGAGGAAAGAGAAGAGACAGAAGAAGTCTCTGTATTAGCTAAACCCTTTGTGTGTAATCTTATAGATGAAGAAACTGGCAAGTGGCAAAAGCTTCTTTCTTATCGGTTCTTATCCCATCGGAGATCGGTGAGGAATTCCCTTTCTTCGCTTGACGATTCTGCAATTACTAGTAAGTGGAGGTGTTGATGGGCTGAAACTCTGGAGATTTGTTATGTTCTTCCCAATTGCAATGCTGCTACTTGAATCCTCTGTTTCCATCAAAAGGTTCTCCCTACCCTTTTCGAAGCCTCTTGATGTTCCAGCAATCTTGATTTCATTCCCCAAAAACATAGAGAAAGTAAGTATCCAAGAAAGAGAATATCTCAGTTCAATGTTTGAGTAAACGCGCTAGGAAAAGAAATGTTTCGATCGTTTTCTAGAGACGAATAAAGGATAGTTTTACTGAAATGCAAGGAAAAGTTAGGTGAAACTGTAAAACACAGATCAGATTTCAGGATGACCCATTTCAAAAGTTTTGATCTTTTCTTCGTACAATTAAAAGGGAATTGAATTTACCAAAAATGCAAGCAAATGTTAGGTGAAACTGTACAAGACCTGATTTTGCTATATGAAACGTGTAAAGAGGGAATAAAAGTGTCAACCAAATACCAAAGTTTCTTCTATTTGATTCAATAAAAATGAAAAGCTGGTAGTATTTGTAATGTACCTTGCAGCCAAGAGAGCAGAAGCGGAAGCTATCATCGACGAGGCTACGATAGCAAACCTTGCAGGTATTGGTTACACCTTTCCCGGGCCTAGGCTGAGGCCTCTCATTCAAGAAGACGACTTTAGCACTATTGATCACATATGTTTGGATCCCAGCTATATCAAGATACTTTTGTATCTCATTCACCCTTATAACATCATGATAAGAAGATCTCCTTATCTGCCAAAACAAACCAAGACAATCTCAAAACCTCAACAAGAATAAAGTATATATCGAACCTTTCGAATTATCGCAAGAGACACAAGTATTATACAAGAATCAAAGATCAAGACTTTACCTGAATGGTGCGATGATCCTTGTGATGAGCAAGACAAAGAGAGCAAAGCGGGCCATTGGTGCAGTCTAAGCAATACATATTGCATTCACTCTTATGAGAGTCTCCATGAAACTTGCAATGAACAAAGAACTGCTCTTTAAGCAAAGGTTTCAGCCACGGCGGCCACCGGTTCTCTTCTTCCTCCGGTCCACCAGCTCCCTACACCAAAACAAAAGATTATTCAATTTTCATCATCTACTTCGTAAATCAACATTACCATTTGGTATATAATCAACATATACCTCAAGAGAATATTTAAACATATCTTCATAAAAACTCTTCATTTCAATTCTTTGAATTCATCTTGTGGTACAAGTTTGAAATTTGATTCTGAAGAATCGTTTAAAACCAAGAAATGTTCTAGATTCGTGTTTCACTATTTCACTGGATTTCTAAGAGTTTAAAAGTATAAATTTGGTATCTAATGAAAAAAGCATATTGTACCAATTCGTGACACCAAATAAAGTAAAAATTAACTAACGGAATCGACCCTGAGAGAAAAAAAAAAGAAGAAGCATTGTTCTGATTCTTCAATATCAAAAATCAAATCTTTTTGTTAGGTAAATAAAAACAGAGCACTTCAATGAAGAACCCATTTTTAAATTGAAAAGAAAAACAAAAAAAGATTACTACTTTTCGCCATTTTCAAGTTTTGAACTTTCAAATTCAATCAAAAAAACCCAAACCCAGAATCTAAACACACACAAAAACCATTGCACATTTGAAGAACAGAGAAAGACTTCAGAGAAACAGGGTATTGTTTAAAAAAGTACCATGATTCTTCTGTTCTTAGGCTTGATTTCACGGATTGTGTTCTCTTGATCCTCGATTGCCATTATCGTAATTGCAGGAAGAAGAAAAAGAGAGTCTTTTTCGAGTCAGCTTCCAACTTTTTTCTAGAGAGAGAGAGAGAGAAGTGAAGATTTCTTGCAGAGAAGGTAAAAGAGAGAAGAATGAGGAGAGAGAGAGAAAGAGAGAGTCAGTCTCTCTTATCTTAGCAAAGTCGACCAACCCAACCTCCTTCCTCTTTCCTTCTTATTTTTTATTTATATAAATTGTCCAATATCTTTTTATCAAAATTAAAATTTTAAATTCCAATAAAGAGAATCTCTATATATTTTTCCCATATTCTCTCTTAAACAAATCTTCAAATACTATAATCTCACTTGCAAAAGTAATATTTCTTTTCCATTATTCCGGTTTTCTAACTTTCACTATTATAAAAAAATTTCCCCAAAAAATACTATTATGTTTATATATATTTTTGATAATATGCTTCTGATTTTAAATCCTTGTTAATATTTTTTCCGTTACATAATCTCAGAGCATTGTTGGTTACATACACATTGTATTTCTTTATAAAATAAAATTTACTTTTTATTAATAATATGGAAATTTGTTTACCTTTAGCAAAAAGAAAAAAAAAATGTGGGAAGGTTTTCGTGTTAGATATTATATTAGCCAAGTGGAGAAAACTATTGCTCCATTATTGTAGTTTTGAGTCTTTTGACATCTCATCTCTATCCTTTAGAATCCCATTATATGTTATTATGTTTTATCAGGTGGTCTCTCTATTTTTCCCTCTATTTTTCAAAAAAAGAAAACTTATTTTGCTTATTCAAAATTTTAAAATTACTAGAATAGCTATTAAGCTCTCTTATGTAATTTTTTGGTTAAATAATTTAATTCATCTCAATCCACAACCAGCTAACCAAAAACCTTTTATGTGTCCAAAAACAGTTGAATATAACATCAATAATATACGTAATGTTTTCAAATAACTTGACTGTTGAAAAAAAAAACAGAATGTAATGGCAGAATTGTTCGAATAAAAATTTCATTTATACTTCTCACCAAAAAAAAAAAAATTTATTTATACTTATAAATTTCGTTTTATGGAAGTATTGTATGTGGGTGTGTATGTATTTCTATTATATGTGCATAAGAATGAGTTTTTGTTTTTGGTGAGGTGCATAAGAATGAGTTGGAACAAGTGTGAATCGCACTTTAGTTTGTTCTTATTATTATTGGTGTATGTATATTTGTATATAATAAGAAGATGGATGATATCAATAATTAGATTCCATTGTTATAGCTTTTAAAGCGAGCAATAAGCGGAGACAAGCTCATGAATTGGACATAATAACCTAATCCATGTGTACTTGTTTATCATTTTTTTAATTAATAAAGAAGAAATTAATGCAGAAATTTAGGTCAAAAGATGGGTGATTCTATCAATAACACACCCTTTTGTTTATTAGTGCTTGCGTTTGGTTGTTGTTCTAATTTAATTAGGTAAATTAACATTGCAAAGTCAGTACTAACTATTCCAATATGCATCACTTGAAAAGGAAATTCCATTTCAAACTCATGTCCTTTGGTTATATAAAACTCTTATATACACATAATTTAATTCACCAAAACTTTTATGAATATCGCTGTCATGTCTCATCTGAAATGAAAGTACAATTAGTTTTGATAAATCAATATGTTCCCTAAACGTAATGTCACATTTGAATTCTAATTTTCTCTTCTTACAATATTGAATGAACAACAAAGTGTGTTTTGTTCTAAAAATCCGATAAGTGAAACATGGAATTATTTATTGAAATACATTTTTTTTGTTGTTGAAATTAATTTGTAGAAGAGTCTACTCATTGCGTTGTTAATTTAGACTTCCGTGTTTCATGCGGATATAGAATTTGTTGGCCCGATAATAAATAATTGTTTCTACCTTATTTTTTTTTGGTGAGCATTGTTTCTACCTTATGAATCATCATATAATGTGTGTCTTTAATTTTTGTTTAAATGCCTATAATGTACTATAATAAAATAAAAGAATGACGACAAGGAAATAAATTAAAAGGGAGACATATAATATGCATTCAAAGAACTGTCAAGCGTAAATAAACCACCCTCGTTTTCTCTCTAAACCTAATCGCCGTCTTCAACCTCTACTTCTTGGCTCAGGTCTGACCGGCGCGTGGCGGCTCCTACAGCGTCGGCGTCGGTCTCCTCTTTAGTTTCTTGTCTTTGCTTTCTTCGATTGTGGAAGCGTGGTGGTTTTGGCGAGGCGATTTGGGTTGTCGTAATTCTCAGATCTGATGGAGATTGGTTCATTGAGATCAGAATCGAAAGGCCTTAAGGTAGATGGTGTTAATGGAGCCGCCGTTCTCGCTATCGCCTCTGTGTGTGGTGCCTCTTCTTGTCTCATTCCAAGTGCTTCATTGTGTTTGGAGCATCGGAGGCTTTGTCTATCTCCTTTCATCGGTTCTGAACTACAGCGGCTCTGGTTCTCGGTGACCCGTTTTTTCCTCTCGCCTCCCATGTTTCCTCTTATCTTTCGCTTTTCCTTGATTGTGCTTGCTATAGATCTAGTTGTTTGAGTTAAAGGTTTTGTTGGTGCTTTTGGCCTGGGCAGAAGTTATGTTTGGCTTGTTTTTGGCTCTATCTCCACGGCTTATTGTATGGCTTTGCTGTGCGTTCCGGTGTAGGGCTATGCTTGCTTTAACTCTCTGTTTTGGGATCCTAGTTCTTCTGCTCCGGTTGCTTCCTCTTGATTGCGCGTGGTTCTTTGGTGGGCTCGGTTCGTGTTTGGGGTTTGTCACTCGGATGGTACATCGCTGCAGGTGCATCTACTAGCTTTTCTCTGAAGCCGTCTTCGGTTTTTTGTGGTTGGGTTCAAGGCGCAGCAGTGGTTTCGTTCTCTAGTTCTTCTCTTGCGAGGTCGTGACCGGTTCTTGTCTGTAGGTGGCATTGATTGGTTCGCTTTGTCCGCGTGTAAGCGTTGGTGATCCTCTTTGACTTATCCCCGGCCGATTTCAAAGTTTCTCTTTGTACCTAGTTTCGCTCGAGCTCATGCCCCGGATGGAGGAGGCGTGTTGGTGTTTGTTGCTGTGCTCTGTTATCGGATTGTTCCTGCTCTCTGTCCTGTCGGGCTGTGGCTGGTTGAGTTCTCGGATTCGTTCTTCTTCGGGTTCTCCGGTTTGTGGGAGATTGTCTGTTTGGTTGTTTCTTCTTGAGGCTCATGGTTCTTGGTTCAGCTCTGACGTAAAATGGTTTCCTGGGATTGTTTGTGGGTTATGATGGTGTCGAGTTCAGATTTAGTTCTTAGGTTCCTTTTGGGCTTACCTTCTTTTGCCTTTTGCTTATAGTTAGCTTCCCTTTTTTGGGCTTAGTTTCCGGGGATATTTATGTTTTCCGCCGGCTTCGTTTCCGAATGAGTTTCGACTCTTGTCGGTCCTGTGTTTCAAAACGTATTCTACCTTGTAATTCTCCTTGGCTTATTCTAATGGTAATCATTCAGTCGAAAAAAAAAAAAGACGTCATATGATAATAACAGCTTTTATTCATTTGTCATGCATGATGGTAGATGAACGAATATGCCAATTTGTTTTTTTTTTCGTCAGTAGAAAAGATGAAACAGAGTATTTGATACAAAACTGAAACTATTTAATATAGTAAATATTACATATTTTGTATTGGTGATAAGTTAGTATCTTTGTGACAAATTTGAAAAATGTGTGCAGTCATTTAAATAGGAACACACAAGTCTTATATGCATTTTATTGTCCATTGACTTTGAAAAAAGATGCCACTTGACTTTGATATTCCCACATCCACATTTGTTTTTCTTACTTTCATTTGATTTTGTTTTTTAGTTTACTTTTCATTTGATAATTTGTGTTTCCTTTGTTACATTATAGCAATTCATAAATATAATTAAATTAGGGAAATTGTTAATAATGCTACTTTTTCAATGCCACTTTTCAAAAATACCCCTTTTTAAAAACTTTATAAAAAATGCTCTTAAAAATATAAGATTTACCTAAATATGTATGTAATATTATTAAAACATACACAAACTACATTTCTATGTATCTAAAATCTTATAAATACTTTCTATATACCTTATAAATGCATTTTAAATACCTTTAAAAACCTTTAAAATATCTTGTAAAACCTTTGAAAAATCTTAAAAATCCTTTAAAATAACTTGTAAAACCTTTAAAAACACCTTATAAAACCTTATAAATACTTGGATCGAGTCTTCAAGTAGTAGTTACAATCCATAAGTACCTTATAAACCTAATAAAACTTTATAAAAATTTCAGATTTAAAAAAGGGCATTTTTGAAAATGAACATCTAAAAGGGGCATTTTTGAAAAGGGGCATTTTTGAAAAGGGGCATGAGAAAAGGGGTATTTTTGCTAATCCCCCATTAAATTATGTAATTCATTCAAATTTTGGCATAAATATATATGTAATTAGATTTCATTTAAAATCTATAACACGAGTTATTTTGGATTAAAGCTAAAGAAATTAACCAAAAAAAAAGGTAAACGATTAGTCAATATCATGCAAGCACTTGAAAGGTAAGTCAAGATTACAATATAGTAATTCGCATTACGCATGTATTCATTCATGTTAACTTTTGTTTAACTCATGATAAAATTGTGAGGAAAATAGTTTTAAAACATATAAACACGAGTTATTTTTCTCGACGTTAAAACTAAAAAAATACTAAAAAATAAAAAGAAAAATCGAAAGGTTTAGTCAAAATTGAAGCACTTTGGACACGGCACGCCATATCTGACCCGGTGGATGGACCCGCTTCTTATCATCTTTTGCCATTGTTTTTTCTCTTTATTAATTTTTCGAAATTAGTATTTAAATTTATCAACCATAAAAACGAAACAAGACTGGACTCAGTCGACGATAATCATCATAGAATTAGTATTTATTTCGCAACTTCGAGGGCATTCGATAGAAACACTTTGTATATTTCTCTATTAATTTTTTTACGAAACAGAAATCGAGATATAGACATGTGTTACATAGTCCACTAATCTTCAAATTTTTACTCTATATAAAT